GAAGCAACAAATAAGAAAACAAAACCTATTAGAAGTCAACGAATTACTTCGACCGAAATACGGCCTAGTCCCCTAACTATTAAACTTTGTAAATCTAGAGACTTTACTTGGGATTAATGAAATTGTCTGCTGCAAAGTTATGAGTGATTATTATTAGAGGACTTAATGTGGGACTAATGTTAATATGTATTTTACCAGCAATTAATGGTTAATTACTTAACAGATATACTGCATACGTTTGACCAACCGTCAAAGTGATGTTGTATATCTAAATAAATGGCTAATAATAAATAATCGACGAGTTTTGAAGTCGATTTTTAGAATATTAATGTCTCTAATATCAATTTATAATATTTTTGGAAAAATAAGATATAGTATGCATGATAGAGTACCAAAATTCCTTGCATAGTTATCTGTGGAAAGCTAAGTGTAAAGCTAAGTTGAATGTCAACGAAATAAGCCATTGCATCTTATTTAGATGTGATTGGAATATTTCACCTTAAATCAAGTATGGAGACTTGTCAGTCCTCTTCTGTCATAAAATAAATAAAAACAGGAAAGCAATAAAAAAATAATTAACATAAAACATCAACGTATCTCGTCCAGTCAATTAGGCAACTCGTAAACAAACCAGTCGCCAAAATAAAGCCACAAAGTCGTGGAGAGGAAAGCCGACGCAATAAAAATGAGTGCAAGGAAATTTGAACGGTCCCAACAAAATAAAGAAAATAATCTAAAGGCCGATTCGGGCGAGTTCTTACTGTGATTAGAGAGGGATTAAAGCTTGAATTTTTAAATGTGCTCTATCAAAATCCTGGAAAAGTGGACAGCTTTATTTCTGCTTAGAGTTTTATTAGTTTTAAAGAAGCCATAGTGTTTAATACATCCTATACCTATTAATAACTTCTTTACAATGATCTTGAGCTTTGATATAAGAAATAAACAGAATTCAAAAATCATTATTTAATGTAGTTAATTTATAGGTATGCTTTTGAACACTTAATAGTACTGCTATTGATTCATGATCATGGTAAAAATACAAACAAAACAAATAATTCAAAGCTCCGCCCATAAATAAGCTAGCTTTAGCTAAAATGATAACTACATAAGAAATTGATTTAATATCACACGTTAAATAATCGAATCGTGGCAATATCAGTGTTCAAATGTTAAATTGTACATTGAAAGCCATCTAGTCGTTTAATATCACTTAACAAACTCAAACGGTTTTTACGTAACCGAAAAATCAACGTTGCTTTCACTACATCCAAAACGTGATTCGATAAACAAATGTTTACGGAATAAATTTTTATCAGATTTAGTACATTTCACTGACGTTCTTTTTCCATTTAAATATTAATGAATTTGCCCAACCGTATACTCTGTATTTTTACAAGTTAACATTGTCTGTAGTTTACGCGAGTAGTACACATTCAAATTGAAAATTAACGCTTTAAACCGGAAACAATATTAGTTAACTTATTTACAATTTTTCTTAACTACCTCGTTACGTCGTGACGTTTCAAATCCTTAGCAGCAGCAGTCCCCCCCCGTAACCACGGCCTACCGTTACCGTATCTTATTTAAAAGTTAAAACATTAAAATAAATCAAATATTTGGGTCATAAGGTAGTTTACTGTGTAGTGGCAACCCTGGGACAAGATACTGTAAATATTTATTATTTTTGCTCGAGATTAGAACTCGGAATATTACATTATAACACTTAATACAATTCATTTTAACATTTATAGTAATACTATATTACAAGAATTAAAAGCTCAAAGTCCAAGTCTACTAAAATAACCGATAGCTCTAATCGAGTAAAGTTTTATTTCCCATCTCAAGCCCGAATGCTCACTATTACCCTCTGTAAGTGATCAGTATGCGAAACAGGCAGAAACGGGCTCCGGTCACAAATGTGCTGCAATATGCTGAATTGGTACGTGGCTTATAGGCCCTACACAACGCAGAACAACCCAGACATTTATTTCCCAAAAGTTACTGAACTATTTTATTGAACGTGTTTAGCTCGATTTCTCAGGGCATGGGATTAAAATTCTAATTCCGCTGTTATTTAGCGTTCTATAGAAATGTTTTTTTTTTTTATCATTCTATTTTTCATTATTTATCTATACATAATAAATGCGAAAGTAACTGTGTCTGTCTGTTTGTTTGTTCGGCTTTAACTCCGAAACTACTGAACTGATTTAAATGAAATTGGTACACAGATATTTTAGAGCCTGAGAAAAGATATAGGCTACTTTTTAATGCCAAAAAAGGGTGGATAGAGGTTGAAAAAGGAGATGAAAAGTTTGTATGCGAATTCGTGGTTTTTGAACCTAAAACAATGAAACTTTCTTCTTTGGCTTTTTAGGAGTGAGAGTGGGAGAGAGTGTATGAATGAGAGTGGGAGTTGGAGTAGGAGTGATGTGAGGTGAGAGTGTTGCGGCAAAGTAGCACTTACAACATAGATTGGCTGCCTTAACTGCGCCATTAAATAAATAAATAAGAGGCCTAAATAATTAAAAATTCTACCCCAAGTCTCTATTTCACGCGGACGTGTGCACAACTGGTTGTCTATATGTTAGCCCCTAAAGCGAGGATTTTTATTATTATACTCGAGCTATGTTGACAATCCTGCCTACACATGTATCAAACCCTGAGCATTAAATAAACCGTTTGAAATAACATATCTATTAACAATTAATAGTTCTCCACATCAACAACGTTCCATGTTGCTTCTTTAACCAATTCAGCTACCGTATCCTACACGTTATCGTCCAATTTTTCCAACCATTGATACATGCAATTCTCGCGCAATGTAATTTCAACCTTAACCGTTACGTGTTAAGGTTCAATGTTTTATGCTTTGCAGCTTAAGATAGCATTGAAGATAACTCATGATCACTAAACATCGCTAAAATAAATCGCAAACGCCGCGAATCTTAATTGCGTTTCAATCTGTAGATTTCCGAATATCCAAAGCCAATATAGGTTGATAGTGCATCTTGTTATTATGCTGGTGTATTTCATTTACCACCACTGTGATAAACATAATAAGAATAATTCATTTTAAGTTATTTATGTTAAGCCTGCAGCAAACTGTTTTCTTCAAAGAATTTGCCGTTTCAGCATAAACAGCGGTTACACACCGTGTAGCTTTCCCATCCGTAAACATACATAACGCATATAGCTTTTACGATCGGAAAGCAGTTAGTTGTTTTATTGAGTCGTATATATTTACCGTATTCATGAAACATCAAGGGAATTGTATATTGTGGGGAGTTAGCGCTGAGCTGATTCGAGTAAGATGCACGTAAGACAGTTACTGGGAAGCTTAGCTGGATTAAGTGAGCGGTGGCGGTTTATTATAGCGCTACGTGATTTACGATGATGCGATACCCTAGAACGCCTCTGTAATAGGTACGTAGCCAGAAGCGGACAATTTATACAGTCGAGATATAATCAAGTCCCGTTCGGCCAGAAATTCTGTGAGATATGACACCCTCATTTATACGTCAACGTTTCTGTCGATAAGGGTCGCAGGAGTTAAATAACGCTTACAGAAAGTCGAGGGCAACCTTCATCGAAAGATGCTGACTAAAGAAAAAAATAGACATTAGAATGCGGGTCGCAAAGTGATTAAGCTAGGGACCGTGCGCTACTGACAGCTTGTAACTTTAAGACCTTTTGTCGACATTTATACATACATTTCAAGTAAGCTCCTCTTGGGAAAATACCCTCGATCTTTAATTAGGTTACTTGTTCTAAAAACACAGTAGATAGTGGTACATTCTATATTTAAATTGGTAACATGCAATTTTAGGCGGAAAGTTAAAAAAAAGACTAGATTTCTAGGGCGTCAGTTATATTGATGCAAAATTGTATCAGTATTTGTCCTGTTAGAACCTGCATAAGGAAGAAACTAACGCATAAAAGTAGATTATTTACATGAAGATTATTCAACACTAGCGTTCAGTTATACTTAATTTTAGCTTGAGGACACATCATGTATCAAACACATTTCTAATAATGTTGAAATGAAAAAAAGTAACCGATTAAAGTGTTCGTAGCAAAAGCGTAGACCGTAAATTGTTTGCTACAATATCTAGGCCGCTACTTCTACACAAATACGAAACTTTTTATGAACTTTTTATATAAGACAGCAGTCTTCTCAATAGCAAAAAATGTGGTAAATCATTTTAATAAAGAAACAGAGAGTTTACGAGTACATTGGAATTATGTGGAGATATTTTGGCTTATACGTTCACAGAAAAGGAGATTTAAATTTTTATTTAGAAAACTAAACAAATCTGTCTCTTAAGTAAAACTAGTATAACATTTATAATAAGAATAGTATGTTTAACAGAAATATAAATGTATGTGTGTATAGATTCAAGAAAACAGTTCCTTAACAAGTTTAACTGAGAACATTGATATATATAAATTAAAAAAAAATGTCATACATATAATACTCGCATATAACATTCTCGTATTATAACTTTAGTTCAGTCCCATACACCAACATAATTTTTATCAATATTTATGTAGATTTGAAGCCTAACCTAAATTAAAAGACATGTCTACTCCTACATTTTCCTTTTCCCCTACTATCCTATAATAGGTTTAAAGTAGATTAGTAATTTAGTAGTTGTTTTGACGTTCATAAGTGTATTTGATTTGTGAATACTTTCACTGTACATATCTTTGTTTGAGAGTCAAATTTAGTTGTGAATTGATTATTAATACTTTCATGAAATTTACTATTATTATTATTTTTCCATCGGGGACACCCTTGGCAGGACGGGTGATCAGTCCACGTTATCCGCTGACCATTTCACCCATTTCCCCATTTCCTCCTTGTAGAGGTATGGGGTCATCCAACTCTCCCCGTGTCCCCTTCAAACCTTCCGGTTTGCTTGCAGAATAAAAGTGAGTAAGTAAAATCCTTGTAAATATAGCAATGCTTTTAAACATTTCAAATATCAAAATTAAATATCTCACGCACCTGAATTCGGTTGGTTGTCAGAATTCGGACGCGCCGAGGGTGCACCATCACGAGCTTCAACTTCCAAGGCGTAGGCTCCTTGCTTCTCCCTGTCGAACACCACCTTCGTGAAAATCTCGCCCGTCTGCATGCTGATCTCGAAGAAGTCTTTGCCCTCATTACGTGGTGAATCGACGATGTAGTAGTACACCTATGAAAAGTAAATAATATTAAGAAAAAGATGATTTCAAGTATACATAGATGTTAGAATTTATTTGAAATTTGCAAATTTCATGTAACCAAAAAAAATTGTGTACTATTAATAATATAGCATTAACGAAAACGCCTTCTTTCAAATAATATTATTAGTAATATCTACGAGTATTTAATTCTTTGGATATTCTGTTTGGTATTTGTTTAGTTATACACATAGGTTAAAAAAGTGTTGCACTACGGTCGCCCATCTGAAATGAATAGTTGAATACGAAATTTACTAATACATTTCGTATTTATCGTATTAAACCCGTTAATAGTTCTTTATATTTAAAGTTATTACTCGCGTAAAGTACGAGCAATGGTTTTGTTATCAGTATAACAGTACTTCTCTATGAGATAAAATAGAATATTCATTACAAACATGAAAATGTATACTCGTATTTGTAAATGTCCCCTGACCCAATTTTAACCTTTTTCACATTGAAAAGTCCGTTAAAGAAATCTTTACTTTTCAAAAATATGTCTAATGCAATAGCTGCTGTTTCCGCAATTCAGAAAACTAACGAGAAAATATCTGAAAATCTCTATTCGGCTGCCTACTGACCTACATCGAGTCAAAGATACGTACAGCTACACGTCAGATATTAATCTAACCTAAACACCAGAATGCGCTAAATCTAATAAGCACCTCCATGTAATTCCAATTACGACGAAACCAACATGTGCTATCAATATTAGCTTCTATGTCTCTACAGAGCCGTATTAAAATCAAATATTCAAAATCCTCTGCGGCATCTCTGGGTATGTAAATGTAAGATGCATTCGGTAGCTTCGTATAAGTAAATTAAGCAAATCTTGCTTCTAGTAAGGAGCTTAGGACGGATTTATACAAGAAAACATTTCGCGAAGGGAATTATTTGGAAAATAACAATGACGAAATGTATACCGCGTACGATCAGAATTTACAGAGGGTATATCTGACAAGTACTGTACACACTTTGCTCTATCAAAACCAAGGGCGGATCCAGCTTTGGCGCCAGGAGTTGAAGAATTTAACACATAATAATTTGTAAATAAAATCAATATATTCATTTATGAGGTCATGGCGTTTCAATATTATATTTTCATAAGCTAACACGTCATGTGTAAGTAATGTTTCGATGTGGCAAAGTTTATCTTTTGTAAGAACACTGACGCATTGAACGGAAGAAGCCCCAAGTCAGAACAAGGCGGTGGTAAAGGTCTCCGTTGAGACGGCGACTACTAATAAATGTATTTTATGTTATATATAGATAACGTTATTTATTATAAACACCTCTCAATTACACAAATACCACGTATTTCAGCTTTGTACTAAAAAAAGTTATTTTTACATACATTGTTTTATCAAACTATGTATTAGTGGAAATAAAGATTTTAGAGCCTGTCAAGAAAGGTATTTATATTTTATTACCTAAAACATACAATATACTGTATATCATAGTCTTAGACATATAGATGATAAATACGAACTATTTACAAATTAAACGAAAATATTTACCTTCAAGGCACAAACCAACCAATCAACCAACAGTGTTCGATTGATTTAAACAAATTTAAAAGAATAACGGTAACAATCCATAAATTTTGGTGATAAAATGGGAAAAAAGTCGAAGTTCACAAGTAAACCTTTCCGGGAATAAACTATCCGCGGAATGAATTGTTATAACGTAAGATTGCAAAGTTCAGTGAAGCAAATTTTCCGAGTGCATTCGAGTAAGTTGCTGTTAGTTATGCGAATGAAAACATTTATCTTGTGTACCGAATGCTTTTATTACTTAACGTTTTCAAACGTGAAATGTTTTAGTTCCCTCTATGTAATGTGAATGTGGAATGAATAAGAGTATGTGCTCCGTATTTTCGAGTTCTACTACGGAAGACTCATTTAAATATTGTCTGTAAACGTGATCAATTTTCATATTTTTCAAATGTTGTTGCACACGATGACACTAAATAAATTAAAATTCGATTATGAATTGAAAAAAAACTACGACTCGCGCAGACTTGAACCGGCACCGTCAGCGTTCCGTGCTGTTGCTCTAACCAAATGTGCTACCGAGTCATAAGTCCTGCCGAATCGTATTTTTTTAAATTTTACTTTTCAAGTTAAATTAAAATTGAGTAAAGTACTAATATATATAATTTTAATTATACGATAATCTAATGCCAGTTTAAATTTATGCAAGTTATGTAACAGTTCGAAGTAAAACCGCCAAGATATTCAATGTTTAACGTATCTCACGTTAATTGGCAGAAGTGCATGCAACAGTACAATAGGCGGATATGAACTTACTAGATAGTTTTAAATCTTACAGTGAAATATATAGACAGTAGATTGCGGTCCACTTAAAATGTCAATGAATAAAAAAAATTTACTTGTAACCGACTAACTATTTTACTTAAAAACTTAATTAAGCTAAATGTTTTTATCATAATAAGGCCATATTATCTGTTTCTATAGACTACTCAAGTAGTTTTAGTGCAATGTTAGCGTTTTTGTTTTGCTTTTAAAGACTACACGTGAAAAACATTGATAATTTTATAATCAATTATCATATCAGGAAAGTCCAAAGTCTACGTCTATATCTATAAGTTGAAAAAAAAACTTTAACCAGACTCAAACCAGCTACGCTGGGCGTACTACAGGCGCTGAGTAGTTACGTCAAATTCGTATTATACATAGTATTTCTTACTAAGTATATATTTACTTTGAAAACTTTAATATTTTTCAAATGGCACTATATGATTTAAAAATCAAAAATATATAAAAAAAGAAACAGCACGCAACGCTGACGATCCTACCCTAGTCGAATTTTTTTTCAGTTTATTTTCGATTTTTAAATTATATATATTTACTTTTTTTTTCACTATTTCTGAAATGTACCTGATTATTGGGAAAGGTCCCATCCTTATCAATCGCGTTGACTTGCGTGACCTTGGTTCCGATAGGCTCGCCTTCCAGCACCGTCTCCTGCTCACGTTCCGTGAATAGAGGAATCTCGTCGTTTACGTCTTCTAGCATGATGTATACAGTTGCTTCTGACGCCAATTGCTGGGCTCCGTTGTTCTGTTTTTGAGAGATATTGTATCATATATCATATAAAACAAAATTATATAAATACTGTCTGTCATTTCCGTGAGGAGTACAAATTTATATGTACGGTTTTAAACGCGATATTTATTAGTTTAACTTATTTAAAAGTTGTTTTAACTACGGCTAGTTTCGCCAATCAAGAACTACATCGGTTTAAATGGCGCTAGCATAGCAGTTTTTACTTTGACTTAAGAGAAACCCCGTTTAGTCTTCCCGTGATCACGGCTGCTGCAAAGCATCCGAAGCATCGAACCGTAGTTGTAATAGTGTTTCAAGAAATTTAAGTAATATGCTCCGCGTTTTAAACCGTTAAAGAGTTCTATTTAAAATTGAAATGTACGCTATAGACATATATTATTAGTTGAGATAACATATTAGTAGAATCAAGAATAAAATTTCTTTTATATCTTCACTACCACCGATATATAACAAAAGTTACCTCGACTCGTATTGTCAAATTGTATTCCTTAATGCTTTCGTAGTCCAAGGGATGGTTCACTTTAATATCGGCCCAAGTAAATCCATTATCGGCGCGTTGTTGCAAATAGAAAGTATGGAATTTATTCGTTTGAGCCGTGGATCCGGGCATCAACCGGTAAAAAACGGTCGGGTTATTTTCAATTCCAGAGCTGAAAACATACAATACAATAAGGTCGTCTTATCCTTTGAATCTTAGATAGCTCTAACACAATACGACATTGAATACGAAACTTAATAAAATCTGATCTAACAACTTTTTACGTAAAAAATATATTTTCTTTCATGAGTAAATAATACTTCTGAGAAATACGAAAACAAATATGTATACCCAAATTACAATAACAGATTTCGAATTTAATATAAAAGAAAAAAAATGAATAAACATAACAACAAAGGCGAACCAATTCTATCATAAAGTTTATTAATCATAATTCAAAATAGATTCAAATTTTAAAGGCTCCGAATTTTTTTTATCAAAAAAGGAATTAGAAAGATGTTTTTTTCATTCTTTAATGATATGACTCTCTACTAGGAAAACTTTGCAAATTCTAGTTCTACAATGATAGAAAAAAAAGACGCACTAACAAGGTACACGTATTTGTTTAAAGTACTTAGGAAGTATATATTTGAATACAGTACGAGAATTTAAGGTAAACACTGAGAATTTAAAACTGATGTTCTTTTAAAATATGTCAAATTCGTTTTTATTAGTCGAAAAGAGACTCTATGTCTATGTAGTAAATCTATTATAACTTAGATCTGTTTTAACTGAATAATAATCGGTAATAAAAGCGAATTTCGTAAATCATAATCATCTAAATTTAGTAATTGTGTGTTAGTTCTGGTTTTGTTCTTAATAATCATGTCAGTTGAAAATGTGGTTTAGGATGAACAGATAGACAATAGATGTGAACCATGGACCGACACTGTGTGGAAAGATGCACTCTAATAATCATTTTGCAATCAACAAAGAGGTATCGGTTATGACGTCATCCTGAAAATGCATATTTCTTCCAAAATGCATTTAGTGCCGACGAAACTGTGATTAGTTTCAAGAGGCTGTTACTTTTACTGGCAATATGTTTTATTCATAATGAAATTCTTTTTTTTCGTTAAAACAACAATTTTAAAAATAATAAAATTAATCACTAGTATACATTTCTAGTAAATAAATAAAAATTTGCAATTTAACTGAAATATGATTGATAATGCAGAAAATTACCAGCCTACATGCAGTTACACTGAACACAGATTGCTAAAATACCTACCGAGAAGTGCTCAAAAATATGTTGTTATTTTGTGGTGAAATTGTAATAATAAGATATTTTTGAGCAGGCCAATTGTATCCCCATTCCATGAAAGCTGTGTGCCCGTTAATTTTGCGCGTTCGTGTAACGTAACAGAACCGATGGTGTTCGTGAAAATGCTGATAGATACGTTCATGGGAAATAGATCGTTCACAAATCACCAATTGTGTAAGGCAAATGACAAAGACACATGGGTCGTGCGCGAACTCCGTACTTCTACGAACCCGCGCTACTGTCAAAATCGAATGTTCTCGAAGATTCGATGTTGACGGTTGAGCGCGCAGGCCGGTAGAAGGTAGTCTGCGCGGCGGCCTCTGCGTGCGAGGGGCTGCGTGCGGTGCCCGTGCCGAACAGTTACACACGCACCTTGCTTTAACGGACACCACTTTGGCACCGACGGGCAAATTCTCTCGAATGTAGATGGGGCCGTATACTGTGTGATCCCATACGGGGGGATTGTTCGCACGATCCACTACGTCTATCTGGACCTCCACGGTTCTGGACAAGGGCGGGAAGCCCTTGTCTTGAGCCATAGCCTCCAACTTGTATGTCTCTCGCTATTGGGGAAAGAGTCGATGGAAACAAAACCACGTCGTTAGTAGTGTTAAGGAGTGGAAGGGCCGCGGGCCCGGGGGCCCGCCGCACCTTATACCAACCTGGCTTTCACACTGGTCACTACGGTACCCACTGTGACATTCTCTTTGATGTGAACGGGGCCATACGTGGACATGTCCCAGATGGGAGGTTTATTGTTCCTGTCTACCACGTCTAATTCAACGTCCACGTCTGCGGAGGAGGGCGGGTCACCTCTGTCGGAGGCGCGCACGCGCAGTCGGTACCTGTCCCGCTACAGATACACGGGTCAGAGGTCAGCGGGGACAAATAAAAATAAAGTAACTCAAATATAAACACATAATTATTCGTTGCTAATAAACAATTAAAAGAAAAGAAAAAAATCAATTTCCACTTTCACAGTTATTGCTTTTTCCTGAGAAATCCTCTGTTTATAGAAAATAAAGATTATATTCAACATCCAGTCGTCAATCTCCCATTCAGTAAGCCAAACTAAAATAAGATTAGAAATAACTAGAGATCACTAACGAGTAGAAGTACAGTCACGACGTCCTCTTCCACGCTCAGGCCTCGTTCGTGCTAGCTTACGTAAGAATGCTTATTTAGCCAATATAGGGTGCAAGAAAATAAATCGGAAAATATAATGTTACCGTATTATACAATTTCCGGTCTGTACAATAGGGAAAAAGACAATCTGTACATTAATAATACTTTTTACAATAAATCAACTAAACTAACTTCAAAAGAAAATAAGTAACTGAACAAAAAGCAGGCAATGCATGCAGCTCTGCATACAAGACATGGCGGAAAGGTCAGGTTGTCATAAGAAGGTTTGGCGACCTCGTAACGACTACAAAAAACGACACTCATTGTAATGAATATATTACAAACGGTGGACGTTACGGTTAACTGTACAAATTTCGGACTGGAAAACGTTGCCCCTTTCACAGAAGAAATAATGTCACAACTGGTCAGATGGCCAAATTGCCCGAGGGCGATCTGGCCATCTCAGTATAAATCTAACATTAATTAAAATACTGTAAATATTATATACTCTGGCACCCTGTAAAAAATCAGTATTATGGTGAATATACTATATAAATGGTCTCTTAGCATGAGGGTCGTCTAGCGAACTAACGAACACGAGGGACAGACTCGAACTGCCGCTGAGACTGTGTCGAAAATTAGTAACAAAACATGTACATAAATACAATAATGATAGGTATGTTTATAAGCGTAAGCTTCTTAAATTAATGTTTTAATTATGAAAATAACTATAAATCCATAACTATAGTGCGAAATATACAGAAGTGCTGTTACAGAAACTGTACATGTTTTAGAACTAAACACAGGTTTTATGGTGAAATATTTACAGCAGTTATACGTTCAGAGGTATTATACACAAGTCATATTTATCGATAAGATAGTTCAATGCAAGATGGTGGTGCGGAAATAAATCTTAACGAAGACTGAGTGCTGAGCCGGCGCTGGCGGCAAATCAAAGTAATTGTGCTGCAAGAGGAACAAGCGCCGCCGGGCGCGCCTCGCCGACCGCCGACGGTCAATGGACAACTACTCCTCATAGCCAGGATTTACTCTTCTCCACAGCAATTTACAGCAGCGTAATTTAGAACTATTTACATTTAAAAACTTAAATTTGGTGCCAATTGAATCCTAGGGCTTTAGGTAGCACTCATCCACCAAATTTGTTAGTAAAGTTTACTCTTTCACGCATCGTTCTTATCACAATACACACATGTTCGACTAGAAGAGAATACTTACGTCTAAAGGTTTCTTAAGCACTATCCACCCTGATTCAGGTTGGATTTCAAAGTACTCTATATCAGCTGGGTTATACGGAGCGCTTAAAGTATACACGATAGCTCCATTGTTATCAGCATCTTCGTCAGATGCCGAAACTCTTAAAATATTAGTGCCTATACTGGCATCTTGTTTTACGTTCTCCACGTATTTCTGTAATAAGATATACCGAATGTGAATTCGATAACTTGGTTATCAAGAAAGTATAGAGAGTGCATTTTAGCAGTTTTGTGCTATATCTAAATCATGCAAAACTATGTACACTTGCTTACTTGTCGGTCAAACAACGGTGGGTTATCGTTCACGTCAGTTATCTCAACAGTGAATGAACAGACACCCTCCAAGGATGGGTCACCTTGATCAGTAGCTTTTACTGTTACAGACACGAACTTCCCGTCATCGCCTTCTCTGTCGAATACTTTGTTAGTAGACACCTCTCCAGTTTCTTCATCAACAGTGAATTTTGTGCCTTTCTGATTGGGCTGCTGAACTATAGAATACTTCACTTGACCGTTTACTCCTTTATCTTCATCAGTTGCGTGCACTTTTATAACGGGACTGCCATTCGGAGCTCCCTCTTCTACTTTCGGAAAGTACGTGGGGCAGTCTTTGAATATCGGTTTGTTGTCATTGACATCAGTGATAAATACGACAACAACTGCAGTTGATGTATGTATAGTTGCATCTCCATTCACACAACAGGCGCCATCGTCCATAGCGGTTACATTTAATTCATATTTATCACGATCCAATGAAATGGCTTTATTATGCAATCGAATTACTCCTGTTATTTCTTCAATGACGAATTGACCAGAGCTGGTGCCGCCGCCAACAAATCCGAACCGAACGTTATCGCCATCTTTATCGGACGCAACTACAGTTGTTACCAAGGTATTTGGACCAGCGTTTTCGTCAACGTTCGGCGTGTATACTTGCTGGGAAAACTTTGGTTCCTCGTCGTTTTTGTTCTTCGTATATACTCTTACTGTTGCTGTTCCGGTTTTGGCAGGTTCTCCTTTGTCTTTTGCAGTAACAACAAATTCGTAATAAGCGTTGTTGTTGTCGGCGTCTAGCTGCTTGTTGTTAGTTATAATCCCGTTGGAGTCGACGCTGAAGTGATCATCTGTAAATATGTGTTGATAACATAAGAACCATAACTTTATTTAGAAGAGATTTCTTATTTTTATCTATTATTTCTTATTAATTATATCTTTCTTAACTAATACAGTCTATTTCTATTTTTATGTATTATTGTGATTTTTTGTATATTGAGCTTAATTAGTTTAAACTTAGTTTAAAAAGATGTAACTTATACAATAAAGAACTAGAATAATGTACTAATACAAATCAAAAATCTGTATTTTAAAATTATGAATGTTTTATTTATTAACCCATAGAACAGTAACATCCTCATAAGAGAAGCTTGTTATTGACTAAAATAATCGAACAATGTTTTAAACTAGACTAGAGTTTTGAAAAGTCTATTGCCATAATTTTGAAAGTAGTACTAGCGTCATGTCAGATTGAGAGTATATAATAAGAAAAAAAATCGTTATATGTTAAGTGTATATTACGATATAATTTACAAACTCGTAGCTATACAATATTTTAAATTGGAATCTTTTCCAATTTAGAAGTTTCTTTTCCAGCGAAATAGTATAATTAATGATTTTAATACGCCGCTAGATGGTGTTGCCAACACGAACTACTGCGCTGTGCTTAACATAGTCACAACTTCCTTTATTTAGTTAGGTAAATATTAGTAAAAGAAATCTTTTCTTCCTTATATATACATAGGTATACACATTTTGTAGCCATGTCCCTTATCGATTCTCTGCCCCGAGAGACCGAAACTTGTTTTTACAAAATCAACTCCAGAGCGTTTAAAGCAATTTTGGGCAAAGCCTTTTAACAATTACGCTGGCTTAACAATAGAGCTTATATTACAATAAACAACTTACCTGAAACCAAATACTCGATCTCAGCATTTTTTCCTGAATCTGCATCCATGGCCTTAACTTTCAGTATGCTGGTCCCAAGAGGGATATCTTCATCAACATTATGCGCTTGGTAGTCTGGAAGCTCGAATTTAGGCGCGTTGTCATTCACGTCCGTAACACGAATTGTTAACTGAAATTGTAATATAATAAAATTAGAACTATCTTACCATTAATTAACGAACTAAACATTTTACTCGGGCAGTTAAATTTATGAACGTTTTGTCCGATAAAAAATATAAATGATCACGTTAACTTCAATTGGTTACAGGAGCGGCATGGGGATAACGCTGTGAAAAATGGTTCATAGAATCTCTTACCCATCGTGAACTTATACTTTTTTTTTATAGTTTATGAACGTTTTATGTAAAAATAAAAAGAACTACTTCAACCAAATGTTAAATACAGGATTGTTATAAACGGTGTGAAGGTTGGTTCGGCTCACACTGTGACGCTACTTTTGTTTATTAGTAGAGCAGTCTTATTTTAGGTGAGGAATGCGAAACAATTTTACGATATTTATATCGTTTTAACATCTAGAACCATTTTCATTTATAATGGTCGATGATCTTAAAAACCTTAGTACCTTAGGTAATGTTTATTATCTTAGAACGAGTATTCTTTACACGTTTCTATACTCTTAAATTCAGCTCTATTTGCACCAATCGACCATAATGATCTAGTAACTATATCTTAAACATAAATGACGTAATGCTCCTTCAACATGTCAGGTAAGAAATATAAAGTATATTGATATGAAATCAGCAGCAATATTATGAAGTTTCCTTTAAAATTGTTTCATATTTTGAACGTTATTTACCTCCACTGATGTAGAAAATCCTCCCGAGTCTTCAGTGGCCGTGACGACTAACGAATAGACATGTGGTTGGCGTAAGTCTTCGAAGTCAAGTTCCTTCGCAAGCTTCACGATACCAGATGTTGGTCCAATGTTGAATGTCCCTGCTCCTTGACCTTGAGCCTTCAATGTGTAGCGGATTTCACGGTCAGCGAAGGACTTTGCTTTTACTGATATTATGCTGAAAATGTTGTAATATACTGTTAGTCACAGGTTTAATATTTTTCACGACCTTTCTCTACAATCAAGTATATCCTTAAAACGCCAGGGGTTTCGTGATCAGTGTTCATCTTAAAAACACGAACAGAATGAAATTTAGTTACTTAGTTTAGTGAACCGTATTTCACAGTAAAACTGATATTTATAGACAACTTTTTTTAAACACTTAATTGAAATTATTATATTAAAATACATATAACTTACTTAATTACTTAATATAATATTACGAACGTAACGTAACCGCAAATAATTTTCATACATATTACAAAATCTGTTGCCATGTTACAAAATATGGCAACAGATGGCGTCGCTTGTTGAATCAAATCAAATTAAGTTTAATTAAACAAAACTAAATAGGAGTTTAGTTTAATTAGGAGTGTATCAAGAAATTTTGAATAAACTTCAGCCGCTGCAACGATCCTATTTCGTTTTTCTTGTAAATATGTTTTAGAGTTACAATAACTAAAGTATAAAAAAAATTGAGCCAAATTTATGTTTAATGCGCCTTGAGTGCCACAAAATACAGATTCAACCCCAAATAATTATTTTTTTAGCTAAAGTTTTTACTTACTCAGAATCTTTTTTCTGATTTTCAGCGATTTCAGCTTCATAGCTGGGCAGATAGAATTGTGGGGCGCGCTTTCCGCCAACGATGCTTAGTCTTTCTTCAGGTGTTGACTGAAAACGCCTTTCGTCGACCCGGCCACTCTGAAAAATTTTATATGTCTTATAAGTTTTTAGCGTACTCTTATTTATTATTTCAAAATATTATACGGAAAGTCAAAACGACAATCGCTATTTGATCACTCTTTTAATGTTACATGAATGATGTATAAGTATAAACACGAAAAAAGAAAAATTTCAGTGCAACGAATGTGCTGTATGTCTATTTCGTTGCATTAATTGAGACCTCTGCATAAGCAACATCGTTTAAATTATAAATCTGTTTAGATTGAAAAAAATCTATGATACTAGCGGGATACGAACTGGCACCCACAGGGATATGTGTTCGAGCTCTAATTGAACTATTGTATCTCACTTGTGATCATCGATTTTTTTCAGTTCATTAATGAATGCACCCCACGCGCTAGTTTCAATTTTAACATAGGTGGTGAGGTTTAATGTCCCTACATCTTTTAGAATTGATAAAGAAAAGAGGAAACCAAAGTAAAGACTAATCATATTTCCACTAAGTTTTATAACCATAGCTAACGCATTTATTTCGTTTCGTTTGAGCATAACGACATCTACCGATCACTTCACTAATGACTTCTTGCGATTCTTATCTACGAATACTTTACCTGGTCTTCAGCTTTGACGTAGAGCACATATTCCATATCAAGTTGAAAGGGGTCTGTACCCCTAGTGCGAACTACTCCGGACCTTTCGTCGACTTCGAATCTTCCTCCAGTCCGGTCTCTTACAATGAAGTAATGGATGTTATGATCTGTGTCGGGGTCTCTCGCTTGCAAGGTGAAGACGGGGGTGTTAGGCGCTGCGTTGAGTTGCACCACAGTTTGCATTGGCAGCGGTCGATTGATAAAATAAGGTGGTTCGTCGTTGACGTCTTTCACGTGGATAATGACGCGTTGGTTGTCTGTGTCTGAAATTTTCAAGTAATTCATCATTATTTAAGCATGAAGTTACAGACAAGTACTAAAAGTCTAAAAGTATACGAAAATATGAAGTAAGACAGATAATTCCTAGGTTAAATTGTCAGTAAGCAATATCTCAAACTGTTTTAATATTATTGCCAATACCAAGTGTTTTTATCAATTTTATTGTTTAACGAAATCCTAACAAAAGGAAAGAATTGCATAAAATTGTTATTATTACTTATAATACACCAGGACACAAAATATATAGTCGGCAGATAAACGTACAGCTTACATAAAACAGATAACTTTTCCAATTACAGAAATTGATTATATAGTCTTGCAGGCCTTTAAATATTTCCTTTGAAAACTTTTAAACCTGCGAGGGTCACATTTCAACGTTTTATTTCACGAACAAATCCCGCTCTACGTATTTTTACTAATTACTGACTAATACAAAGTTCATTATGACAAAAAAGGTTGCACTTATTTGTATGTTGTTTTTTTGATACCTATTAATTGCCTTGATATAATGAATGTCTATTTCATATAATCCATAGATAATTGTTTTATATATTTTAAATTTACACAGGCCTTTAAGAAATAATGTAGTAACTCAAGTATTAAGGTCTCAACATATCTTCTAAGCTGTCTTAACTATATTATTATAAAGCTTAAGACTAAGAATTATGTCTGCCGTAGCTCGTTATACTTCTGATCCAAATAAACAGACGCAGCTAAGTGATTCCAATACCGATAAGATATCGGATGAAAGATTGTAGTATGATACGAACAAGGGTAATTGAATTATAGATATAGTATTTCTCGCAAAAGGTAAAACATCGTTAATCCTTATTTACTCTATATAAAGGTTTGTATACTTACACTTCAGCGCCACTGGTAAGCATAAAATTAAAAATATATTAGTATATGTTAGTAGAAATGTAAAGAAACATTAGTAAGTCTTACATCTAAGTAAATTGTAAATTAAGTGACTCACTTCTGTGTGATAGATTTTTACAATCTAAGATATTTTTTATATATATGTACGTGAAATAATCATATAAAACAAATCTGTTTCATATAAAAAAATCAAACTATTTATTTTATTATAAGAGATTTTACTTTTGGTATATATTTGTACATAGGTCAGGCATGAGTCTGCCTAGAGTTCCTAAGCATAGCATGTTTATAGAATAGAAAATATTTTAGTCTAAAAGTTCGTGGGGAAAGTTTTAATTATTTAATTTATTATATCGTAGGACTTTGGCAGCTTTTGTATAGTCTTAAACTTTAACTTATCGCGATGTGTTGCCAACTTCCTGCTGAGACAGATACAATAACTCTCTCTAACAAACTATTGAAATTATACAATTCCAGCAGGTTTGGTTCAACATTTTCGTATATTCAAAGAACCTATATAGTAAAGTTTTTAAATAATATGACTTATTCATTTTGTATACATAATCTTACTTCATTGGCAAAATTTGGGAATTGACAAAAAAATCCTAGATGTACCAATTATATCTAGGAATGTTTCGGGCCAAGTGTAATCAATCTTTCGTAAGTATCCTTTCCTCCACATCTTAATATTATCGGAAAAATCTCGAGAATAAGTCAAGTATCGCTGAAAACGTTTGCATTTAGGCTCCTCTTTTTGGACACTCGCCAAATCCACGAAACTGCACATTATTGTTTTCCTGGTATTTTTGCGAAGAATGTCGTTCATATCGTGTACAATAAGATAAGAGCAGTCAGTGTGTTTTGGTTAGTAAAAGAAAAATGTGACATCACGTATGAACATTTCTTTAGTTTGTTTTTGAATCAAATCAATTTTTGTCACACACTATACTTATACCTACCAAAATTTTTTTGAAAAATAACTACAAACTAAACTATTTATAACGGTAGTAAGACAAAGCGTATGTAACGTCAGTATGTGTAAGCTTCAGGAAGAAGTACCACCTTTGTTTTCAGTCACTCAGTGCAATTTTTATGCTTATGTCTCAAACCGTATTTTGGAATGCTTTTTTAAATTTAAATGAAACACTTTAACGGTTTAAACTAATTAAAATTAATTTATTTTACCTACGGCCCTGCGTTCTGCATTCATCGCAGCAGCCGTTGTAGCCGGTTTGTTTCTGTTATACAAAGGAATATGCACGGGTTTTCTAAAAAGCTAAAGTTTTTTTTTTTTTGTCAAGCCGAACGATCGACGCTTAATATACAAAATTAGGAAAAGTCGGTTTAGCCCAGTTGTATTGCACTGGACACGTTTGTTCCGCTTTATCTTGATAAAAAGATTTTCCGGACACCGCTTTAAGGAAACCCTGGGTGCATCAGCCGTTAATACTCTATATTTTGGCTTGAAGCCAGACTCCATTGATAACGCGAACGCCACCGTCGAGATAAAATCTTACTCAGAACGACAATTCTGTAAACCGATAAAATTATGGCTGCGCATTTTAACAATTACGTTTGGTAGAAGTGATATTATACAACGGTGTTATTTTGATATTTCAATAGCATTATTTTTATGGAATTCAAAGATTTGAAATAAAACAGTTGCGAACGAACCCGTTGAATTTTTTGTTAGATGCGTTATATATGTGTACTAGCTGTGTCAGCGACTTCGCCCGCGTGGAATAGTTATTTTGCACGCCCAAAATATGCAAATTTGTTTAAATAAAACACTTTAACGGTTAAAAACGTGAAATATTAGTTAAACTGATTTGAAAATGATTTTTAACTTCGGCCCGACGTTTCGGATGCTTTGCAGCAGCCGTGGTCGCGGCGTTTTAAACCGTTAAAGTGTTTTATTTAAATGTGTACTACTCGCGTAAACTATAGACATGCAAACCATTAGCAAACCCTCTCTTCATGTGTACAAATTTAATCTGTTACGAACGTCGGTCGCGTCCCGTTGTTCTTGCAACCTTTAAAGATAGACATATAGTGTCGCGGACATTTTTTTTATATCTATATTATTTAGCACATTCAAAAGACTACTTTTTACTCATTTGTGTTATAGAAATTAACATTTAGATAGTTATTTTTTCTTACCATGCCATTTGTACTCTTTTAGAATGTAATGCGTTATTTTTAATATTATTATACTATAGTTAGGTACTTAAGTCTGAAATAGTTAATTACGCATAATTTTTAGTTATATGTACGATAATCTTGTACGAATTTTATTGAAATAAATAAATATAATATATTTAAAGAGATATCATTTTTTCATATTTTTGGGGTATCTTGAAATGTTTTTGCAGGTATGCATCGGAAAATCACAAAGATGAATAATTTTTCTTTTTTTCACATATCGCGCTGTTTCTTCGCTAGTTTAGTCATAGCGCGATGTCTTATAGCCTTTAACCTTCCTAGACTCTAACTACACCGAAAATATTTTTTTCTTTTCGAACCTGTAGCTGAGATTAATGCGTTCAAACAAACAAACTCTTCAGCTTTAAATATTAGTATACATTAATTGTGTGATATATCTTATTGATTTCCCTTTTATAATTTTTTTAAATATTGTTTATACAGCACCATTACTGTAATGAAACGATAATGTCATTCCTAATCTCCATTATTAAATGAAATCGAATCTGAATTACGTGAATTCATTTTTAATTTCATGCCTGTCAATTGAAAAGAAGCGTAAGCGACACTCGCCGATTCCTTTGAAATACGGCCGGGTTTTAATAAGTGTGAGTTGCAGGTGGGAAGAGGTCTGAGGTGGACCTCACACCACAATTGGGGTGGTGTCGCAGTGCGCATGCGTACTCTACAATGGCCACGGCCGAGGCGTGCGTTCCTCGTGGTTACGAGTCCTCGACAACTTGGCTCGCTGAAGTAGGTAGTAGTTAGTGCACTAGCACTGAGAGAAAGTTTTATTCATACTACCTACAACAACAAATTGTCAGTATATTATACAAGTTAAACTTGTTTAATTGACATAGATATAGATATAATATGTCACGCGTTTATACGAATCACGTGTACGTAACAATTATTTCCCAACGGAAATGGAGGAAATTTCTAAATATATATTCTGTACTCTCTGTAGTTTAACGCTATTAGTAAAAAAAAGCGGTTTAATATGCGACATGTATTAAACTTATTTACAAGTTATTATTTTCAGGCGGTACCCAATGTTTCATCAGGATCCGGGTTTTTACCTCCCCAAGACCACAGCTGGTGCAAAGCTTCCGAAACGTTGGGCAATAGTTAAAATAATTTGTAAATAAGTTAAACTAATACTTTTTGCGTTTTGAACCGTTAATATGGTTTTATTTTAATATGTATTTAATTCGTTTTGCGATTCTAAACGGTATTTTCGATTTCGGATCTGATTTGAACAAATTTTACAATAAGTATTCTTCGTAAGTTTTAAAGTCAAAGTCAACAATCATTTATTCATGTAGGTAACATAATGTACACTTATGAACGTCACAAAATAATTAAAGAATCTAACTTTGCATTTACTACCAGTTCTCAAATCAAGGGCGTAGAACGAACGCGAAGAACTGGCAATAAACGCGGTCACTCCTTTTATCGCCAAGTTTCATTTTACATTCTTGATTATTACTAAATACCAACCTTGACAAAGTTAAGGTATTATAATATGTAAACTACAGGTATTATATGTAAATAAATCAGGCATGTTCCGGGAACACGGATTGCGGCCGCTAAATCCGACTTATGGATTTATCTGTCCTCACCAGAAGGGATGGAAGATCTGGCATGGTATCAACGAATAATATGTGTACAGCTAATAATATGGTTTGGCAAATCTTTCTTATAGACGAGGCGCCTGCCTAATCACGATGCCCGAGATCATGCTGATCTAGTGAGGTATATCTAAAATCCAAATCCAACCCAAAGCAAAAATAGGTCGACACTGTCCTTCAAGTGTACGCCATTCTTGTCGGTCTTCCTTCAAGGCTATTGGGATTTTACGACTACCACCACTAAATTCTTAGTGTCAATCAGCATCGAGGGTTAATTATGTTTCCCTAAAGCACGAA